TGGCCACAGATGACAGTCAGTGGGATCCCAATCAAGTCGAGAAGGAGATTGATGAGGAGGGGGCGGCCGGCGGTGCCAGACCTAAGACAGGCATTGGTCGCGGACGGGCTCACGCTTTCAAACCCCCGCAAAATAATTGATTTCTATTTCAATAGGATTTCTTAACATTAATGTTTACTATTATTGCATGTCTTTTACTTTTTATTGCTTTTAATTTTTTTTATCAATCAATCATTTGTCAAAATTTACAATTGTTTTTATTTTTACACACAAAATTTCATTATGAAATGCAAAATAAATTCTCATTTTCACAATTCAATTTTGAATACACTTTAGTCTGGTTTGTCATTCATTGTTAGTCTGGTTTGTCATTCATTGTTAGTCTATAATATTTATTGAATACATTGATCGATACATAAATGATAGACTGTTTTTGTAATCAAATGAAACTAAACTTTATTTCCATCATAATATATCTGCGGTAATAATAGTGTCATAGACTGTATTGTGTGGTGACTGCGAGTGAGTGGTTGTGGACCACTTGTGGTGATGTCTACGAAGGTCTGAGTGGAGTGAAAGGTCCGTCTTGTTTGGGTTCACCGAAGGGGTGAGTATTGACTCCGCGGTTCTTGAAGATCACATCATTCTCTTCAATGATCCGTCGGTATTGTCTTTTGCGGAACAGTTCCGGAGGGTTAATATAGATGTGGATGAGAGGGATGGATCCGATCCCCGCTAAGAGTGCCGCGTATTTGAGGAACCGCTCGATGCCTGTAGACCTGATGGGTCGACCCATTCAGACAATCACTGGTCACTCGACACAATCGGTGGTCACTATTGCAGTGGATATGAAGTTGTGCTCAAAGTTGTGCTTCACTTGTGTTTACCATTTAAAAGTCAATCACATGTTTGCTTTCAAAACCAATTGACTTAACATTACGTTAATAACGTTATGAAAGTACTATTTGTTTGAGTATTAATAACTCATTTATGACTCATTATTATAGTCCACACATTTGGTTAGACTTAATTAATTTAGTTATCAAATTAGTTTGTCATCCATTTATAATTAATTTATTTGAAAATTAATAAATTTTAGTTAAAAGTTTATAAAACGTTATTTATAAACTTAAACTTATATCACTCATAAAATATGTATTCAATTGTCAAACATTGAGACCCCTTTCCACTGAATTTCAATGATTACAATGTCAAACAGTGCAAAGTAAGCCCTCCCTACCCGCCCTCCCTGTGCTAATGGACACGTAAAACATGTATGAATTGCTTTCATCACGATATTGAAACGAAAACAAAACACAGCTTTGAGTGAAACAATCATATGCTTCACGACAAAGAGTATTGACTTTTATTATTGATTGTGTAATACATTCATCACTTAATTAGAAAATCATTTGCAGTCAATACCTGTGTATTCATTATAATCGTCTAATTGTTATACAATATAATTGATGTAAAGGTCTATACAATGAATGCATAGAAAGTGTGTTCAAAAGTGTTGTGGCCTTCACTGTGCACTCCGTCTGCTATTAATGGCTATATTTTAATCATTAATTGCTTTTATTATCTCTAAATTGATAACAAATGTTAGAAATGAATAGCAATTAGTAGTGAATATGAATGGGATTGCAGTCTATCATCACAGCTGACAGTAGTATTGAATACCTATAGTCTGCTTGTAATGCCTGTCAATGACAACGATTAGTCAATCAGTAATCAATTATTTATAAGTCTATGGTTTGAATAAAACTGTAACTCATTGTCAACTGTCGTATCCATTGAATGACACACCGATCCCATAGATAAGAGGCAAATGTGAAATAAGTTTGTCTTTTGATAAGCCGTTCAAACATAAAGACTCATTGAGTCAGTGCTTCACTCTTTTCATTGTTTCATGAATAATGTAATTCACGTCTCATTTGTCGCATTGTTTGCCGAAAATCACACCAAAACTCGTGTCAATCGGTGCGAAGAAGTGACGGCAATATCGGTGACCAATGGCTGACATGTCGTCCAACGGGTATAAGTGGAAGGAATTGGTTCGTGAGCTCAAAGTGGAGCCCTTCCTCTTCCTCTACATGTTCTCCTACAGCCTGTCCTCGATGTCCATATCACAGCTCATTCAGGACAAGCTGTGTCTCTTGACGTACGGCAAGTCCGCCCAATACTGCATTGAAATCAACTCTCAAGAGTTCGACCACTCGGCCGACCCCATCAAGAGTGCCATTCTCGCCGACTCCGGCTATATCATACTCTACCGGATGATCATATCGACCATTCCCTGTACCATTTGGTCCCTTTTCATTGGCTCCTGGAGTGATAAATACATCCAGGGGCGCAAAATCATCATGGTCTTTGGCTGTATTGGCGCTATACTTGAGTCCGTGTTTCTCATCATAAATGCGGCCGCTTTTCACACCGGTATTCAGTGAATGAGTTTTTGCAATCACTTATGCGCTTAATGTCATTAATTGTGTATTTCAGACGTCTATCTCATGTTACTGTGTTTCCTGCCGTCGGCACTATTTGGTGGTATTGTGGCCACACTTATGTCCACTTATGCCTACTGTTCCGCCAATAGTGATCCCACCAAACGAGCCATTCGTTTCGCTTGTCTTGAAGTGAGCTTTTGGTTGCGTAAGTGTTGTATGAATTGGTTCAGTGAATGATTTGTTCATTTATTGTTTCATTGTGTGAACCAATAGCTCAACCGTTTGGGTCTTTCGTTGGCGGACAGATTCTGGGCGATGGCAACAAATACAGTGATCAACAGCTCTACCACTACATCGCCGTATTTATCGGTCAGTTACTAATCTCGTTATATATTTTTTATCGGTTTTATATCCAATATTTCTTACGGATTTCCTGTGTAATAGTGTTGGGAAATAAACTGTTAGTCTTATGCTGTTATGTTGTTGTTGT